GTTATTTTATTTATGAGTAGGTAATGTATTACAAACAAATTAGTTATTACTGATCTTGATGTGGCTAGGCCGAAGGCCTTTAAGCCATGTAACATACCTACATGCCTTTTTTCGCGTCCAAGTCTTCTTTCGATATTCATTGGTATTCACCTCAAAATGGTCTTCTGCATCAGCATCAGAAACCGCGGAAAGAGACACAAGAGTACGGCTCAGGAACAAACCCTGAAGGGAGAATAAACACCTTAGCGGTCAGAAGCGAGATACATTGCGTAATCTATCCGACATTTATTGTTACGCTATTTTTATTTATCTGGGCGCGGGCGTCCCCGCCAGTCCCTATCCGATAAGCTTGAACCTCAACTCGACGCACGCAAAATCCGAACCGACGCAGGTCCACAGAAATCGTTCCGCCACCAACGCCTCTTGCCCTTCATTTTCGATCCCTTCCCTTCACCCCCTAATGTGCTATTTACTATGCCAGTTTTCATTTTATAATGTATTGTTATTGACCAGTGTATTTTACCAAATGGACTAACTAACTTATGACTTATTTCTGGTTTACTGACTGTTTACTAACTCAAGATAAAATTTACGTACTTATTGTTAGCTTATGCACTTATTTATTTCTCTCCAGTCTAGGCTCGCTCAAGCTTAACCAGTGCTGTTTTCCCACTCCCTTAATTTCAGTTTCCCTAATGGTCCGGACTTTCTAAAAATGTTCCTAGATTCTTTCATAAATTTTTAGATCTTTTGTCACCTAATAATGTTTTTGGCGACGTTACTTCCTGTTTTAGAAGTAGTAATTCCATCCCATCCATTTTTTCTCCAATGGTTTCGGGTTGCACAGCAAATTAAGAGGCATGTGGATCCGAGTCTTCCCTTCCACCGCAAAGCACACAGATGCCATTACCACTTGCGTCCTTTAGCTTACGCTGTATCCACCCGCCAACCCTGAACAAGCGTATTCCCCCCTCTTGCGTTCCTTTCCGAGGATATGTATGTTAAGCTTTCGCAAACCCAAATGGAGCTCGCATGGATTTGAGCTACCAGCGAACGTCTTTTTCAGCCATTGCTGCCCAGATCTTCTTGCCTCTTAATTCCGCAAGTCTATCGGAAATAAGCCTTTTCTACTCACGGGTTTCCCCTATCTTTGTCACCATTTCCGGAGAGAGCGTCTCCCAACCTCCGCGCGTCTCAAGTAGCCGCTTTAATTTTGTTCGCCAGATAGCGATGTCGCTGCCCTACCATTGCGCCACTCTAAAGCGAACCTAAATGTTATAAGTGCGAGTGTCAGCCTGTGTGCATCTGGCTAAATTTAATCTCTCAGGGTTTAATAGGTTTTCATTTGTAAAAATCTTTGCCAAATTCCTATACACGAGCCTCTCTTTAAGGAACTCCGGCATTTTGCTGCGCACCTAGGACCACTTCCTAGCATTAATTTGCAATAATCTGTTTTCGATGGCCTTGTCTAATCGATCTATTGCCTATCCACTCCCCACGATTTCTCGCTTCCCGCATAGTCAGTAAGCTGGGAGATACTAACGATGGTTGAAACATTGTTATCGCATACTGTATACCGGACATTGCCGGAACCCTGTGCGCACTCGCTGGCAAACGATGTCTGTTAAACGCCAATTTCTTTCCTTCTGCTGTGGAGGTCAATATATGAGATTATTTCCACCCCCATTTCATGGAACATTGTTTGCCAAGATATGTCCCAAAGTGTGTTTGAGCGCGTGCGTGAAGTAAACAATTTCAATGCGCAATTCTCGTTAGCGCCGGTTAGGCGGGCGCGAGTAAACGCATTCGTACTTCTACCGCCAGAGTGAGTACGACTCAGTCCGCACAAAACGAAATTAAGATGCAAATAATTTCTTTATTTACATATTCTCTCTTCATTGACTTCTTGCAGGTTCAGTAATTTTTTAAAAGAATTTTTTATGTATCAACAAGCATTCACCCAAAGTAATGTAAAAATGCCTGTGTATTAGGTGATAATTTTCTGTAGTAGTAAAGCAGAACCCAATATGTCAGAAATATCACTTTTTTGTTTGTAATGCAAATATGTGATTATAACGGGCTTTGTAGTAATTGTGTAACAACCAAGCAATTCTAAATTGCAGTATGTATAACATTTTGGAAAAGGAAATGTGGCAATAAGTTCAGTAAAAGCACAGTATAAAGAAGACAAACCCAGATTTGGAGTTGTACATGCAGCAGTTATATCAGTGAAATTGAGAAAGTCAAAATTTGAAATATGCACCTGATCTAAATATTTGTTTTCTGGGGAAATTTTGCAAGGGCCTGCCAAACGAGAAAAGAGTATTAGTTGTGAAGCAGATGGGATTTACGATTTATTGTACTCAAAGAAATAAGTGACCAATAAACGGACTGCAAATTGAAGATTACAGACATGACTGCAAACTGTTAGAATATGGTGTGGATATGTACGAGCACAAAGCTTTAAATGAAATTGTGCTCCTAGAAGAAAAATATTAAAAAAATAACGATGTGCTACTTATTCATTTAAAATTTCCTGTGAATGGATTCGAGAATCCTCCAAGGAAAAGTGATGGTTGTACAAACCTGCAACCAAGCCAGAAACTGCCCCTGGTGCCTTCACATTAATGCTATCTAACAATTTTGTTTCTTGTGATTGCAGAAAATGCAGCTTTGCGCAATGCTGTTGGTTCCACTGCAAATCTTGCTGAGGCTGAACAACATCAAGTTGGATGTTACAATGATGAGACTCAGCATCCTCCTGGAGAGGTAGTTATTTAACTGCTTTCTGTTATTATAAAAGTTACACCCCATGTGATCCTATTTGTATTTGCTCTCAAATTTTTCTTACTTGGATTTCTTCCTGTTGTCAGTTGATAACTGGTAAGTTTTACGTTCCATCAGAATTTGTGAATTTACTGGCTCTTTTCATTTGAAGTCTGCAGCAAATGCTGACTCTTCGGAAAGGTGTGAGGATGTGATTCCTGGAGTTGGGGATGCGGCTGACGTAGAGACCACTGCTGCCCAGGAAGCCTGCACATTGACACCGCCTGGTAGCTGTTGCGATGACAGTGCCCCTCTGGAAGAAGGAGAGAGAGGAGACTTCGGCAGAAAGAAACACAGAGGCAGAGGATCCCCAGAAGCCCATCTTCACCACCACCACCTGCGAGAGAGGTCGCTGCCGTCGAACGTTGTCACCTGCAGCCTCGCAGAGGAGTTAGCCATGGCGTGTGGATCTACTGGAAGTGGCCCAGACCATGGGCGATCTCCCAGAAAGGTAATTTTTCATTTTTATAATAAATTTATTTCAACCCTTTCCGTGCTGATTCCGTTTTTAAATGGGCGACTCAGCTCTCTCCATTTAAATGGCGGGTTGTAGTGGGAACAGCAGCAGGATGAAATAAAGGAAATAAAGGGTAAAAATAAGTTTAAACACTATATATTATTTTCATAGTACTACTGACTCTATTATTATAACTTGGCAATGGATTAGCAGTAAAAGTTGTAAAAACATGCTACCAGAAATCTGCAACAATGACTGTGTGTGCATGGACATGACGACAATGGGCGAGCTCTATTCACACTTAATTAACTTGGGTATTAATAGATAAACTCAAAATATTATCTTCATAATCTAATTTAGATTGATCACTACTAGCAGTATTAAAATTGAATTCATTTATTTTGCTCTCTGTTAGACACATGCTGTGAGGTTGTCACCATTGCTATTTATATCTAGTAACATCTGTGCAGAAGCTAGGAATATCCAATATATTTCAAGTTACATGAAGTGAGCCAGTTGAAAAAAGTAAACCACTAAAGCTTTAGAATGTTGCCTTATGAGATGACGCAACCATACAACACTGGTCCTCACCAGAGCACTAAGGATTGATACTGTGAAGAGGGTGGGCCGTAGGACTGGAACTGGAAATTATGCTGAGGCCCACCGAGTGAACCAAAATGCACAGAAAGGGAATCTTCTCCATAATATTTTTGCTTTATAGTTATCATTTAGGAATGGATTAAAGTGTGTAAAACGAGTACATGTCTGTAACTTCCAGACTATACGACAATAGTCAGGAGGATCAAAAAGTGATGGATGAAACATCCCTTTACTTTTCAGTAATCCTGTACTTTGAATCAAGGATTTACAAATGGTGCAGAAGTAATTGCAGACTACGTGCTTGCTCTTGTTTTGTAAACCCCTTGTGTAACCAGATCAAATATTTTTTACAAACCATTGTTTTATGGTGCTTTCTGCATCCCTCCAAGAATATCCCCTCCCTCAGGAATTTAGAAATTAGAACCTATTCATGGAATGTCAAATGCTGTGACTTAATGACAATACTTCTTTGGAATGTGATGCAATTTGTGTTTTGGGACATAATCTTTCCCATTCCCCTATTTCATCACTGGCCATGTTGAAATCGGTATACAATCTTCATATTTTGTAAAACTCCTTTGTGGTGCAGTCTAGTGTACAAATACTTCTATACAAGTAGAACATTAGTTCAGTCATCCGAATCTGTTTAATGAGCTAATCAGTTAGTACTGTATTGAAAATTTTGAAATCAAGCAATTTTAAACAAATATATTGTTTATTTTACGTATTTTCTATCCCTCCCCTGTAGTTTTGAAAAAAATAGGTACATGTATAAAAATAAGTAAACAGTTAGTGTATCTAAGTTTTAGTGTTCGGAGGTTCAAACCGTTTCACGTAAAGCAAGCTGTTCCATGTTATAGATTTACTACACGTTAAAGATCCGTAAGACTATAAGTAGCCTCTGAGGTAAATTCAAAATCGTCTACATAATACTTCCTTTCTCTGCTAGATGGTAAAAGGAGCATAGCAAAATTTGTATGGTCAGATGGAAGAGCAGGCTTGATAACCTGAGTCTTGCCATGTAAAATAAGGCATAATTGATTTGAAGTGAATTGAATTGTAAACTTTTAGGGAGAAACAGTTTCTCGGATGGAGTCACCTGATTGCTGTAGTGGTCCACGTTGTGCATCTGCTGGTAGCCTTGCTGTAGTTCCACGTGACGACATGCCAGTGTGTAAAGTTGCAGAGAGGGTAACACTGAGGCGAATGGATCCTCAGATCACAGGATCACAGCTGGCATCTCTTGGGGTGAGTGCTTTTATTTCATCAAATAATCAAGATTCTTTACTTGTTTTTCAGAATGTGTAGTTTCAGGAATTGCTGTAAAATTGAAATTTTGTTTTATTTTCTCTCTTTATGAGTAGGTAATTATCCATTCATTGACCCACCTTGCTGTGTTGCTTGCTGAGGTTGCTAAGGCAGGACAGTTGTGGCTTCCTTAGTTCAAAGGGTCGCAAATTCAAATCCTGCCTTGAACATGGATGTTTTTGTGTGTATGTGCGTGTTAGTTCACATATGATCAGCATCCTTACATCTTTTCCCTCTAGAAGATAGAGTTATCTTGTGTAGACCTAAGATTTTGGGTGAAATGCTTATTTAGTTGTTGTAGGAGGTCGTGGAAAATAATTGCATATGTTTATGAAGTGTGCAAAAATAAACCTACTGAAAGCATTTAATAGTGCCTAAAATGTCCTAAACCTACCAAAAGAATTTAATAGTGCCTAAAACATCCTAAAACAGCAGTTGATGCATATTTTAACATGTTTTGCCTAAAACAAGTAATTTGGTGAATTATTATATTTAAACTCGTTTTTTTAAATTTGTTTTACAAAAAAAAAAAAAAAAAAAAAATATTTTCCTGAATTTCCCAAAAACTGAATATTTCCTGATTGATTATGCAATTGACTGTGTACCAAAATCTCTCACCCAACACTGAATATAATATTGAGGAGCTCTGCACGTCAATACAAAGACATAACAATCCAAATCATCCATCAATACAAATACATTTCACACTTGTCTCCGATCAGCATGCACTTCTTAGGCAGTTGCACCCTTTTCCGGTGCAGCTGCACTGTCAACAGGTTAAGAATGAAAAGTATGAAAGAAAGAATAAAGTGAAAATAAATAAAATAACATGCTTGTAGGCATTCTCATAAAAAAAAAAAGTAAAAATACTTGACTTTTCTGAAATATAAAAAGTGCCTAATTCAATACTTTTGTAGTCAGTTTCGGTTGCCAGAAATGTAACTTTTCATTGCTAATGCCTAGTTTAATCATTTTGTCACCTATGTCAAGAGCCCAAAACATCATTTTTCAATCCTAATAGGATCTAATTTCATAATTTTGTTACCTATTTTAGGTGCCTAAATCATCACCTTTTTGTGCCTAACATTTCGAGGTCTAGTTATCAGCCTATTAGTTAGCAAGCACCACTGGTTGATTTAAAGTAACATAAGTGGTAGGTAACTACTTGGCTGTTCTGAAGTGCATTTTGCCCTGGAAAAAGGTTACAGAATGGTAACAGAAATCTTGGCTCCTATGTCTAGGATAAAATGTCTCTTGGACTGTCAAGTAGGTACTGATTTCGGCCATGGAAGTCTGTGCTCTCATAACTTTCAGTGTTCTTGCCAGGTGAGGTATCAAGGGGGGATGTAGAGGTGCATCCCAGAAATGTAAATTGAAGAGACATGAGATTGGTAGCTAGTATGTGAGTTGCTCGGACTGGATAGGTATGTTGCAACCTTAAAAAATTACCAAATGTCAGTTAGTTCATACAATAATAAATATATGAACAATTATTTTTACTGTCACTTGTTTCTGTTAGCTATGCCAGTGAAAACTTCATTGAAACTACTATTACAACCTTAAATCATTTCTAGTCTAATGGCAAATTACAATAAAACCAAACGTATCACCTAACCTAGAGATGTTTTAGTTCATTTATTTTTTACAGTACATTTTTTATTGTATAAATATAATTCTTTCTTGAAGTATTTATAATTTGAACGAAGTTTTCAAAGATCTTGAAATGGTTAGTGTGAATCAGATGTATAGAAAATTCAGTTGAATTATGATAATATATGAAGGCTTGAATTCTCTAAGTTGTAGTTATTATATAATTATTATATAAAAATATAATAATAAGTAAATTTTTATGCAAGTTGTAAGGCCATTGTCCTAAAACACATGTAACTCTCATTTTCACCTTGAAGTATATATTGATCGCAGTGCTATTTGTTCAACAAACCCAAAGTTTCATTAAAGCGTATTATATCTATAAATTGTGAATCAACACCTTTGAGAGTTCCTTTGTTTGTCATTAAGAGACTATTCCTATGCTGTAGGTGAGTCATACTCCAGTAGCAGAGAGCTTAGTAAGTGAACTTCGAGCAGCTGATGCTGCGGAACTTGCTCGTGGTGGGGAGTTAGCCGCTCGCCATGAAGTAGAGAGAGAACAACTCTCAGCTCGTCTAGAACATGCCAGAGCTCAGAATCGGGTGCTGGCACTTGCTCTCGAGGAGAGCAGAGCGCAAAATGAGCGCCTTATTTTGCTGGTTGGGAAATACGAATCCAATGCTACTGCTCTTCGGTGAGTTTTTGAAGGGCATCTTAAAAAGTTTTCATCCATGTTGTTGGTCAGATATGTGAACATATGAGTGTCTCTCTAAGTGTCAAAGTGCTTGATGTATGAAATTTATTTTAGAGATTGTACGAGGGTCACTACAAAAGTTTTGAGATACACAAAAAATAAAAAAACTTTAAATAATTTAGATAAGCATATTTTCCCAAAATACTCACCATGACATTATATACATTTTTGCATTCTCGTAAACTAATGTTCAAAACCGTTTTTTTTTTTTACTGATTTTCCTTGAGTGCTAAAAGTTCACTTTTGTAGGCATCAACAGTTTCTTTGGGGCTTGGGAACCTTCTTCCTTGAATGCGACTTTTGACTGTGTGGAACAGAAAGTAATCATGTGGGGCGAGGTCAGGGCTGTGAGATGTGTGAGTCATTAGTTTAAACTCTGTTGGCTTCAGGATCTGAATTATGAAATTGGTCGTGTGGACAGATGCATTGTCCTGGTGCAGGACGATTTCCCACAGTCATGCCTTCAGTCGCTGTTGTTGAAGCTCGGTGAAAACTTTTGGTACATATATTGTTGTGTACCACTGAGCAGTAACAGTTCTTTGTTCTTCCAGTGGAACTGCCTTGACATGACTGCTTTTGGCTTTTTTTTTTCTTTCTGATGCTTTAAGGTCACTAAACTTTTATTGGTGAATGTTCTTTGGGAAAATCCAGACATTAGACTAGCTCTGGTGACAAATCCACGTTTAATCACCAGTAACTATGTAAGAAACACGCCTATAATTGCCTCGTTCAAATCTTTTCAAGATTTCTTCATACCATTGTACACACATGTGATTCTGTCAAAGTGTGAAGCACCCATCGTGATGCAACTTTCCAAACTTGAAGATATTTGTATAGGATTTTGGAAACTGCCAGCAAACCAATCTGTTGGGACTCTTTAATGTCCTTAAATGTCACATGGTTGTTTTCAAGCACAAATTTTTCACAGTGATAATGTTTTCTTCAGTCACTGCAGTCGCCAAACACCCACCTGCCCCTCCTTGACTTTGAACAAAGTTCTGCCTCCTTTGAATTCTTGAAACCACTGAAAAATTGTCGCATTCGAAGGTGCAAGGTCCCCGAAGACTCACTGCAAACGATCACGGCTTTCACATTTGTTTAAACCACTTTTGAAGTCATAAAGAATCATTGCAAGAAAGTGTTCTCGTGTCGGCTACATTCTGACAACAACTGAATACTGTATCAACATAAAGAAAGGTAGGCCTTTTAGCAACAGCGATATGCTGAGCAAGTTTCAACTTGCACGCATTACTTAAAAAGTACTCTGCGATTGGTTCACATTCTTGGAAGGTAATAATGGACAACACAGTATATCTCAAAACTTACATAGCTATCGCCATATACGGTGTTTCAGCACATTTGGTGTCCTGAACTAACTTGATATTCAAACTATAACAAACCTCTTTGAGAAAGAAATAGTTTGCCATTAACATGAAAATGTGTCACTTCTATGAAGAAGGTAGATAGATCCAGGAAGAACATTGAATTGAATAATATTTTAAAAATTGACAAAAGTAACATAGCAAACCTGCTTTTGGTGACCAATCATGCTATTTAATAGCATTTTGTATTAATGTAGTTGTTGTCATAGTATTTTGAGTTAATATACATAAACAGTGACTTAACAGTGATAATTGTATTACATTTGCAGGTTGGCTTTAGGCTATAGTGATCGTGCGATTGAGGCATACGATGTTCTGGTTGCACTTCTTGAAAGTGAACTGGGGCTCCTTCTTGCCTCTTGCAGATCTCTTGGCCTAGCGTCTTTTGGTCTCCATGCAGCAGGTGAGGCTCTTTGAGGCTGTGCCTCATTTTATTGTTGATGGGTATGAAAGAAAATGGCTAAAGTACAAATTACTTAAAATAATTAATATATATTCTAGTGTGTAGGTTCTAAAATGTTCTTTGCTTCATAGTCATGTAGTATTCGCCATTTGATCTATCTGTTGCCTTATGGCAACAGGAATAATGTGAGTCGTATGTGCTTATTTACATTGATATAAATATATTTCCATACATATTAAAATCTTGCAACATGGCCAATAAGCGTATTTTAATGATACAATTCTCTTTTGTCTGTACTTCGTAGCTGGTCTTCACCACATATTATGATTTCAAGTGATACTGTTATGACAAGCTTAAGGAATATGTAAGACTATATCAAATGGTAAATGTATTATATGTATTGTCAATTTTGCAAATTATAATATATCAATTGATCTGTCATGTATTTGTTCATACTGATGACAAGGTAAATCATATGTATATCAAGGAGTATCATCATAAATCAAATTTTGAGGTAGCAAAATTGTATCTTTCGTTTTCTTTCTAGTAAAACTTATTATAACTTTCTTTTAATTTTTTTGTAATTGTTGATTCCAACTAATAGTTCCCCTACATCATTTTTTCATATGTTGTTTTCAGATGCAGCTCCATTTAACAATGTGCTTGTTTCAGAGGAAGTCAGCCTTGATGGGATAGACAAGGCCTCCCTTCTGAAAAAAGCACGGGACAACCGGTACGCTGCGGAGACTGTTGCAAGGCATGTGCTGGCACGGTTGGAGACGGTGGCTGTAGGAATGCCTGCAGCACCTTGGGAAGACTATTCTCATGCAGCCAGGTAAAATAAGTTTCATTGTTTCACTATTTAAATTGTTTTCTGGGGGAAATTTCCAGCCTAAAAATTGCTTCAGATTGAGGAATTAATTTGCTATTGGAATTTATTTATTCGTCATGTCGAATACAATAATACAAGAACGAAGCAACTCATTCCATTCAATAAAGTAATGCATTAATGCCTTATCTCATCCTTCTCTATGCAATAATATATTCACGTGATGATGATTTATCACAACCTGCACCTTATGTTCATTCTTTGCTGTTGGTGAGTGTATTCTTCACTATAATTTCTTTGTTAGATTTTTCATCTCTACACTCAGGCGATCATAATAATGGTTATTATGACATTGGAGATTAACAGATCCTGTTGAAATAGGCTCTTGACAATGAATCTACAATGCTGCTACATGGTGGAAATGTGTTACAATATCTATGGTTGTGACAGAGCAGGGGTGAAATTTTACATCCTATCCTGAGCTGCTGAATTTTCAAAGATAGATGTTATCCAAACTTGTTAAGTGAAGAACAAAAGCAAAGAAAATCTGCATGATAATTTGCTTTTGCTAGTTGAGAGGTTAAGTTGTGTTTGATGTTTTTTATGGGTCATTATAAAAATCTGCCATGAAAGTTTGTTGTTAATGTAATGAATCTAATGTTAATGAAATGAAATGATTGTCAGTATAATACAAAACAAAAGAAATAATAGAAGATGTTTCGAAATTCTATTATTTAGATAATGCCATTGGGCAAATATCAAAGAATTTATTTAGGCTATAGTGGACAGGCAGAAATTGTATAGTTCAAACTGCACATAGCAATATTTTTAAGCAAAATTCAGAAATACAACAAAACAAAATGGAATAATAATAATAATAATGAAAAAACATTTTAGAAGAGATTAATGAGAAATGAAGTTAAGATAATAGTCTAACCAACACTTTTATAAATCAGAAATTTTGATAATGAAAAGTTGGGATCACCAAAGATCGGAGGCCATACAGAAGGGGAAGAATTCTGCATCATCTTGCAAAAGACACTGATGGACTGGCAAAGAAGTAAAGACATCAGAAAGTGACTTAAGACAAAAGATGTAGTAGTAGATATAAAGGAGTCAGAAGAAATGGCTCATACATATGAATGTAAGAAAAGCAGAAAGACTTCTGAGGTTACAGAAGATCCTCTCTTATCAGATTCCTTTGCCCTCCCTTTTTTAACTCTCTCAGACACTTCTTCATGTCGACCCTTGGACATTGTTTTGGAACTTCATTATAATATAGTGTAGTATGTATTGCATATATTTTTGTATGTATGTACCCATTTCAGTTTTAATTAATTTTTTTCTTCTCATATCGCTAGACATTTTCTTGTACCATGTCAGGGTCCTGTGAGTAATGGTAGTGAGGAGATCTGCTATAGTATTGAAATATAGGCCAATAGGGTGGGAAAATGTTGAAAAATCATAATTAAAATGGAACATTTGGAGGTTTAATCAGTATGTCTATTTTGAAACAAGAATGGGCAATGTGCTTATTAACCCACAAACTTCAGAATTTATTTTCCGAACAGAGCACTCATTCATTGTTGCAACCATGGGCTGCATGAGCTATCTTGTAGCATCTGTTTGCAAGTTTTATTTCGAAATTGTTATGTTTCTAAATTATGCTAGTAGAGCATTCCAAACCACCAAAAGATGCATGCTGTGACCGTCCCATCATGCCTTTTCTTTATTGTAATTATTTCTTTACATCTATTATGTATTTGCCATAATAGCATATTATGGTACCTACACTCTGTTTATTAAAATTTTAAAATAATAATCTTTCCGGTACGAGCAGCATTGCCACTGGAATATTTATATTGGCTCATAGGACTGAAGTTCCCCCCCTGGACAAGATAGGGAAAAATTATATTTCTCATTATCTTATTGGTAATGGGAAGGGAAATTATCTTTCTTTATCTACAAACCAAGAAGAGACTTAGACATTATTCAAATATATATTCAGTACCTTGCTCAGTGGTACTGTTTGTTTATTCAGCGTCGTTAATCTCTTCCATCCATCATTTCACCATTAAGTTCCATCAGCTGTTCTCACCATTTCCATATTTCCACATATTCTATGTGTTTCTACACACCTACTAAATGCCGTACTTGTGGCTCCCAACTCTCTAGTTATTACGGTCAGCACATGCTCCCAATACACCTTCTCTCTGATAAAAATTCACTCTCCCAAAAAAACACGAAAACTTGCAAGCACATGTCGGCTCGAAATCCATCATCCCTCTTATGTTCTTCTCAATCAGTCTAGTCTTTTGATTCTTTTTTCAACAAAACAACAATGCTCGCATTCCTCTGTCACAAGATATTTTGGAACATTTTATATGTTTGTCAAATTTATTCTGATATTGCACCTTTTCGAGGTTCTGAAAATTTTGCTTTTGAATTTGCCACATTCCCCAAAGTTCATTGCTCTCTTTTCACCGTCTTTGCCAAAATTCCAACTTGTTTTGAAAGCTACTTACATCAGTTGCCTATATTCAATTGTTCTTCTGTGTATCTTTCTGTCTCTTTAAGTTTTCCTTCTAAATTTTTGTAGGCCCCTTTCAAATTGCTTCTGGATGATTCTTAATTTTTTTAATTTTCTTAATGCATGTTTTCTAATTTGAAAACTCTCCTGTTATTCAATGAAAATATAAAATTTGGTTGTGCGTTCACATTGTCACTTGTTTATTCTTCTCTTTCTGACTGATTTATTTCAAAAATTATTTTCTAGACAAAAATATTTAATTGTGAAAGTTTATTGAACTGGGGTCCTACGTACAGTTACAATGCACCACATCAACTTTGTGCAGATCATTGTTTGCTTTTCAACAGTCTTTGCCTTCAACTTAACCACAGGGATAAGGCAGCATTGTTTTGGGAAAAGATTTGAACTGCTGCAAATCATGAATATATTCTACACTCGGACCAGGAGCTCACAATGCTTTAGCAATCTCAGCTAAATCAACATTTAGCATTCAGGAATTCAAAAACTTGCTTTTATGCTTCTTTTAGGATGTCTTCATCTATTGAAGAAATAAATTGTAAAGTTGTGCACAAGGAGAAAATTTGAATTGACAGGAAATTTGCATCCTGAGCATTAATGGGTTGCATCTGCAGCACAAGATGATGATGACTGTGATCGTATTAAAAAGGCTACTTTCTCCAAAAATCTTGAGCAGGAATAGGTCAGAAAACTGTAATAGTGGTTTAAATTTTTAAAGAAAAGAGCTTGGTGTGAAACTTCTTTGTGAAAACAAACTGTTTCCTTGATTATTATTGGTGGCTCTCTTCACCAGGGCCATGAAGAGTACAGAACGACTGATAATTTTTTGTAGAATTTGTATTCCTTGATCAGAAGCTGAAAATTGAGTTCCCAAAGTTGAATTCATTAAGCAGATGTTTTGGTTCATTTTCAAGGTGCTCTAATTATTGTCACGATTTTAAAAAGGAATTGGAGAAGATATTGATGTACATCAACAGTACAGATAAGCACTGATAAGCAGAGAGATTCCAATCATTTGCTTGTTCCCTTCATGAGAATAACATTTAGAAGACCAAAATGTGATTGCTACCAAGTAATGGAAGTTGTCTTAAATTATTTCTGTACAATTTATAATGTTCTATATAAAGTCTCCTACAAAGTCTCAAGTGATAACAAATTCAACTCTTCGAATAACAGCAATTGAACAATTGAATAGTGAAGAATCTGTTTCTTAGCACTAAAGGCTCAGCGTCCTTGTTTTCCCTCTCTGAGTAGTTTCTACTCGGAGGCTTCAAAGATGCTTCTGAAGAAGTGTTTTGCAACATTAAATCTATGTCAAGGGAACACACGTAAGAGTAATACTTGCATAATAGAGTTAATATGCCATATCTCAAAGATAATTTATACATTTCTTGCCATTACCATTCTGTGGAATGTGAGTGAAAGGAACATCTTGACTGGAATGAGCAAGTTATCTGAAAAAATAAAATGTTGAAAAGTAATATTTTATGTCTAAATAATATTATTATATTAAAAACAATAATTTTATAAGTACATATTTAATTTGTAAGTATTCATTAAATATGTGACACAAAATAGTTATTTATACGAGTGGTGAAAGGGGCATTTTATTTTCTGAGTTGGAAAGGTTGTGTCATAAGACCAATAGGTCGAGTAGTGCTATCCTAACAGCAAAATAAAATCCCTTTTTACCACGTGTGTCCTATCCAATTTTTTAGACAATCTTGACTTTCATGTTATTTTTATTTGAGTACACAAATTACTTAATGATTCATTAAGATCAGTAGTATCTGATTTGGGAAGAGAAAAGTATTTTTTTTTTTGTTGCACTCGCAGATTAATCTTAACACTTGAGCGTTATTTTACTTTTAGCTCCAGCACCATGTATTGCATGACCTGATAGCACTGCTTTTACTAGTGTCTGTCTAAAAATACTTTCCTTTGCATTGGATGTCGCCTATGGAGGTCCTGAAATTGTTGTACTTTGTTTGACATATCTCTTTTGCACATTTTTGGTTAACACTGGAAGTTAACCATACAGCTTCTTGAATTACATTTCATTCCAGGAGTGTTGTTTAGATTTTCTTTTGTGACTAAGAACCATCTTTTTCCTAAAACATAAAAATATTTAAAGTTGTAATAACATGCAGTCATAAATTTTTGAGTAGAATGGAATAGCAACGTTCCACTTTGCTCTGCTCGACCTTAGCAGATAATGGTTCAAAACAATGAATCATAAACATACAAAACTAAAATAATATTTCAAGTACTATTGTACTTTTGCTTTATTACAAAGTCAATGCACTTTACTTATGTTTTTTGTGAAGTGCACAGGAAAAAAAACAACAGCAATCATTTGCTCTTCTGGGATGGTAACCCCATGACACTTTCGCACAATATACAGTCACATTTCTTGAGAAATTACTTGTTCTAGAATTAAAAGGCTCCTAATGTATGCCTTTTAAATATAAATTCCACTTTGCCCGACTTTCCTCTAGAATAAAAAAATATATTAGAAAGTATATTTCCTCAGAAGGTATCTGAAATACTAAGTGACGCTTTGTAAATATTTAATGTTAAAATACATAAAACTGAAGCTGCAGAATAATGTTGGTAGGTAAAGTGCAAACAATAGGCATTATAGTTAAATTTGAATATTTTTCATAAAATATCTTTTAGACACTTTAATTTGTAACACAATGTAAATAAACAAAAATGATGAAAAGTCATATACTCCTATGTATAAAAACAAAGTAATTGAGAAGATTTTAAGAATGATACTCTGTGCATTCAGGTGACAAGCTTAATTTTCATTTCTAATTTTTTTTCTTCAGGGAAGTTTTGTAAAAGTTTTAGATGGAAAAGTGTTGGCTTACATTTAAGAATATAGAGTGGTCATCCCAAAATATTTAAATTGCAGCCACATGCTTGTGTTTTGTGGCTGCTTCAACCAATCAATTAGCATTCAAACCATGCTTGAGTAACTGAGAAAATTGAACGTGTGTAGAATTTGTAAAGAACTTCTAAGGTGTTCATTGACCCTTGTAAGATGTTACTGTAAAAATTCGCTCAGCCTTACTAGCGTAACAAAATGAGTGCGGCCCACCCACAAAACTTTTATCCAGTCCCCTGTATAAAAGTGTATAGCACACACAGATAGTGTTAATACCCTAAATAATTAAAATATCCTTTAATAAGTTCATGTATGCAAAACCTTCTGCTTAAAAATAGTCCCTCTTTTATCTAGACCTGCCTGCATTATGAGCCTTGCGGGCTCGAACATTACACCAATGGTCAGCCTAAAATGTCTTTTTATTTTTAGTGAAGGTGAATGGGGCCAAGCAGAAGAGAGAAGGCTCAGGGATCACATAGTGAGATTGAAAACCGAAAGAGCAACAGTTCGAGGCACAGTTCTGGAGTTGGAAAGTTGCCATGTGGAACCTCCTGGGGCATGTGTGACTCTAGCGGATGCCTGCAAGTTGGATCTTGAAACGGCTGTGCTCATGCAGGTCAGATTATTTTCTGGAGATCCTTCCATGACTTTTGTTGGAATCAGTAAAACTTCATTTGTATGTTTTTCAAGTAAAGCATAGGGAAAAAAGTGTGACAATAATGCAATACTAAAAATATGAACAATATGGCTGCAAAATTTTTAAAAAAGTCAATATTTTGATCTTACTGTTAGTTTTAGAACTTCTTTATTATTCTCAAGAAAGAAAGTTGTCAGTTGAAAAGTCTGATCTTCAGCAGTTTGTTTTCTCTGCACCTAAGACATGAATTTCTCTTTGGAAATATGTCAACTGTCCCATAGTAATATTGATTCCCTCTTATTTTGTATTTTGTACAAGTCCATTGAATTTGTATTGCACAATATTGGCAAACCTTATGCAGAGTTGCTCCGGACATCACTAGTTCCCCTTGACTGTGCAACTAGTTTCATCCACAGTTCCAATGAAGAGATCAAAGGCCTTGCTTATCAACAAATCTAATCGACCTGACCACATAATCCCTACATGGATTTCATTGGGCTCCTTTTGGATGATATAATTTTTCTCAGTTAATGGTCGGTTACCTTTGTCATAATGCTAGTTATTATAGGGTCATTGTATAATCTTAAAGATAATTTTATTATGCACATTTAAGAATGAAAAATAAGCACAAATAGGTGAGTGTAATGGCTGTCTTGAGTAGATAATGCATCCGTATCTTTGTGTGTCATGCTTTAATTTATCATATTCCAATTTCTAGTAAAATACAAAATAAAACACATGATAGGTTATGTCAGACTATGATGCTTCCTGGAGGGCATGTGCCACTGTCTGGAATCCCTAGGGAGTAAATTTTAAAATTTTAATCACGTATAGGCTATAAAGAGGTTCTGTAGCCGCATATTATTGACCACTAAGAAGCATCTTAAACCTTAAGGACATAATTAAAGATTTTTCAAGTTAAAATTATATGTCGTATTTGAATTGAAGATAATTCCCTTTCCTACAGTCACTGCATTATATACTATGTAAATAAAAATTAATAGTTTAGCAGGTTCATTGTAAGTTATGCAGGTGGAAGTATTGAAATTGGCAATATGTGTATGTAGGATATATTTTCCTCGTGTCTGTAGGAATTAATGGCTGTGAGAGAAGAACGGGCTGAGTTAAGAGCACGGTTGTTCTTGATGGAGAAAGACAAAGCAGCATTAGATTTGCGATTGGGAGCTCAGGAATTACAGTTGCAGCAACTCCAAGCACAACTGCAAGATCTGCAACCATCTACTCATCATCTGCACCAACGAGTGAGTTTTAAAAACTTATTAATTCTTTAGGAAGAGGTTGGAGATTGAAAATTCAGTTCTTGAGTCAAAATATGTATCCTCTCAAATTTGATCTTCTAAAGAGAGATTTTAGAAAAACATGTTCTTATAAACATTTCTAAACATTTCGTCATTAAATGAATATTATTTGATGATTAATTTGTGGTTGATTTCAAGTATTTATGTGTAGTTATATTATTCTTATGTTATTTTTTTTTCCAATGTGTAGAGTGGGAGTTTGGAGGGAGAACAATCTTCACCAAGTGAAGAAGCGAGCCGACGTGAGGCACGTCTGAGAGAGCGAATGCAAGGTCTAGTCGCCACATTAGAAAAAGTTAGCAAAAATTCTGAGATGAGACATCAGCAATCTGCTGACTTGATCAATGATCTGAAACATGCTAACAGGTACTGTGATGAAAACTTATTATACAGTGAATATAAACTTGCCTTTGACAGTACTTTTGTATGAAGAAAATTTGTCATTTCAAACAAAATAATCTCAAAGTGGAAAAATTTTATTCATAAAAATGTTGTATGTATTGATGTGAATTGAAAGTGATGTTAAATATGATGAAATGTGTTTAGAGAACTGGGTATGATTAAAAGTTGAGGAGCAAGGAAATTTATTATCGAATTTTTTTTAAGTATTAGCAGAAGAAAGACTGATTAATTTAACAATTATTTATCAGATAGCTGACTAACCTGACATTTCCCGGGATTTGGGTAGAAACTCTTCACTCTAACACTGCATTAAAACTAGGGTTCGTGGCATTGTATGGTCTTCGCATGGAGTGAAGAGCCAACTCAACATTGATATAAAAATGATCACACAATTCAAAAGATAGATTTCAAAAGGTCCAGCATACTTTGGTGCAAGATCACAGCATATTCCTTTCTGGCTTGGATTGTCTGTATTGGATTACTAACTTCTTCATAGAAAAATTGTGAATACTTTCTTTCTGCAACAGCTTGTAGTTCTAGTGTGCAATGCAGCCGCTAGGTTTATCTCTTTTATATCATTAAGGAAAAAGAAAATGCTTGAGAGGGCAACTCTCTTAACTGCACCCATTTATAGATGTACGTACATCCTAGACATGTATGCTAAGCTACTGGCGTACATACTATTTGAATCCATGCTGCAAGCAACCTTGTTTGTATGTACACGCGCATGAATGTGTGGGTACTTTTATGTAATACATTATCTTAGAAAATGCAAAGCATGCGAAGCATACAGCTACAGGATGAACTGTAGATGTTTTTTGCTTTCTACCTGCTCTGTGGAGCTTTCAGGAAGTAGCTTTCGAAATAGTCATTACCAAACTTGTGTCTTGGTTAGGAACACACACTGTTCTGCTTTCAAACAGTGCTGTATTTCAAAGGTATACATGATGCTCTATTTTCATTAATTTGTTTCAATACTAAAATTACATCAAACATAATTTATTTAATGGTCTAATTTTGGCAGTATTGTAAAATGGAAACCTGCTAAGATCGAAAATTTATGAATGATTAACTTACATCTGAAGACTGAATTTTCTTGAAAAGAAAAGTATTATGAGTGTATTTTATTTAGAAATTAGAATAACTGAAGAGAACAGAACATTTTTAACTAAATTATAAATGTTCTGTATTCATCTGAATTTAAGTCAACTCTGAATATTAGATCCCCTCTCCCTAATTTTGAAGAAGCTTCTTGAGAATATCTTAAATATTTAATTAATTTTTACTATTTAGTCAAAATAAAATTGCAAATTGTCTAATTGATTACAATATTGCCTTATTCAGGAGCATGTTAAAATGTATTGTCTGCACTATTATTGTTTTCTTCTTCCTTAAAAATCATCACCATCATCATGGATTTGTCACTATCCTCTGCATCCTCTCTTGTATTGTTGTTTCTTTCTTTATTGTCTTCCTGTTCTGCAGTGTGCTCCAATTTTAAAACCTCTCTGAATTTATATTTGTAGTCTTTAATCTAAAGCCACCTAAGTAAATTTCCTTCTGTTTCACCAGATTTTTTCTGACCTGCTCTTGTTTATGGCCTTTGTTTCTTTAACAAGTATTTCCCATTCTTTCACAAAATGTCCTTGAAATTAGCATCCTTTAATGTTTATACGATTGAGTTGCCAACTTGTATATCTCAGTTTTTTGGCATACAAGGGAGATAGTGACAAGTTTCAAAGGTTGAGAAGTTTTTACAAAATAAATATTTTTTTATCATCCTCTTTTCAAAACACAGATTCTCACTTGCTGAGCGTCAAACTTAAAAGTCCCCATGGCCTTGTTGATCTGTACATTGTATAACAAAATTTCAACAATTCTTATTCATTTTCGTATTGCATTTTCACTTGATACAATACTATTTGTTTGAGATTCGCTCTGTATCGCCCATTAAAATATCAATCTGATTTGCCTGGCAAGATCACAGTGGATGCTGAGAATATGTGTATGAATATATTTATATTAAATGACATGCATGACATTTTTTATTGTCATTGCAGCATGTTGTTATGTCAAAATCTGAGTTTGGTGACATGGAAAGGTTATGAAAAAACATAAATCCTAACTGACTAGGCTTAATCATGGAGTATAAGATGTTCTTGCATTTTTTTAACTATATATTTAGGAAAAACCTTGTCTTGTATTTGTGTAAATACAGATATTTATTCAGAATTGTCTTAAACATTACACAGAAGACGGTGACCAATTTCCTGTGCTACAGTGTTTAATAGCAATAAATTGGCATCTTTATAATATATTGTGAGAGTGTATAATTGTAATACTTTTTATTTTTTTCTAGTGCTCTTCTTCAAACTCTTGATCGATCCAAAAAGAAGTACCAGTCTCGTATTAAGAAATTGGAACAAAGGATGTTAGATATGGCAGAAAGACATGCACATGAGGTAGGCTCATATTAAAAAAATTGTTTCTGTGTGATTATATGTTCTTTCAAGGAGAAACTAATGAGATTTTTGGGAGGAAGGATCCTTTTGTAGGTTCCAATATTCAATTATGACTACATGCATTTCACATTTAACTTTTTCTAATACTTCTGCAAAAATAGTTCAGTCAATGAACATCAGTATTTTATATTATGTATATGTAAGGGAGATTCAAAAACAAAATACATATCTTTAATTTTTGAAAATTCAAAAGTTTGAATGAAAATGGAACATTAGTCATAAAATTTAGTGTATTATGCTCCATCCTTACAAAAAGTTAAAAGGGGGAAGCAAAAATATTTGCCCTGGTTGTGATTTGAACTTTAAGTTCTTCATTTTCTAAAGGGAGTTGCTACCCACTTCATTTAGTGAAAAGTATTTCCCAAGAAATGGATTTTTAGGATACAAGTTTTGACATTATAATATTATGTAACTGTTTCAAATAATATAGAAAATATGTGTTGATGTGTTAAAGTAAATTAAATTGGTATGAGATAGATCTTGTGCAGTGAAGTTGTGGCAATGTTGAGTTATGCTTTGATAAATTTCATTTATAAATTTTTGAATAGGTATTGCGACGCTTCAGAAGTTTAATGAATGTTCTAATCTTTTTCAATTAACTAGACTTTTTTAAAGGGCAATTGAGCGTTATTTCAAATTGAAGGAATTCAAAAATTGTCAACACTCAAATGAACCAGAGATGCCAATTGTTCCCTTGACAGTGATTTGAGAGTATTTTTCCACAAAATACTTTAAATTTAGTATTTTGATACTTCACCAAAATACTTAAGTATTTAAATACATACTCAAAATGGTTTTGATTTGCTAAATACATACATGTTTAAAATACTTCAAATACTCAAAATGCAGTAAATACATTTAATTTTATATTATAACCTTTTTTTCAACAATATATTGTAATTATTATTTAAAATAAATTAGTAATTGACAGTCATTCAAATTTTTGAACAATAACAAATGTATTGTTCAGATTTCCTTTTAAAACAATAAATTTTTTGAACAAATCATCAGACAATAATCCCCTAGTTGGCAAATGTACAAAACCTGCCAAAGAAAACAGTCATTCAACTGGCCGGGATGAACACAAACTAGTGTTGTAACGAATAATAGAATTTTGTATTGTGGGATAATTTTCCAGCATTTTTAATGATTGACATTTACCATTTAAAAATGAAGAGAATTCAAAATATTCAATAGCTGAAAGAAGCTTTTACTTTTGTTTCAATGAGGTGTCTTTACCAGTAGAATCAACCAAAAAAGTCTATCCTCGTTATATTCTTTCTTCATTTGTATTTAAAGTATATTAAATATTTCTTTTTTTAAATACACCTCTAAAATAAATTTTTTTTTAAAAAAGCTCAAAAATACTGTTTTTCAATACAAAATGTATTTAAAATACATATTTAAAATACAAGGATTTAAATACTGCCCAACCCTGTTTTTCAAAAACAAAGATTTTTAAATATTGTCTTTTGAAAAACCAAATTTTTAAAATTATATTTTTCTTTTTTTCATACAACCCTGTAATACTTGTTAATTCAGTCTTTTGTATGCCTCATATGATAATTTTTATTATCTCAACTTCTCAGTGCTATATAATTTCCATTTCTCAAGGAAATTGATAAGAACCATTATTTTCAGGTGCGAGGCTTGAAGCAGAGGGTAGCAGATTTAGAGAATGAGGTGGCGGTAGTGAGCAGAGCTGGGCACTGCACTGGCATTGCTTCTGTTGGAGTCACAACTCACAGCTCCACGGCAAGCGAGACGTCTCTGTGATGAGTGACAAAGTACATAAAATGTGGATTTGATAATTAGTGAGCCTTTAAATAGTTTTGTGGTAGGTTGTAGAGTTTACCAGAGTTAAAAATTCTTATGTTGAGTTGGTTGAATATAGATCAGTAGTCGTTCCAATTGAAATTAGCAGAATTTTGAGTCCAGAGTAGTAATTGCTTCCTTGTATAAAAGTTATCCAAAGATATTAAGTGAAATCTGTGCAAAAAATATTTGTAAAATTCATCAAGACTGATTTGTGATATTTAATTCTCTTTTATCTGCTATTTAATTCTCTTTTGCTTAACCTTTTATTGAGGGATCTGGGAGTTCAAGTTAAAAGTATTAATTTCTCAAGTGATATTTTTAACCGATTTAATGAGAAAATCATGATAAAGTTTTTTATTTTTTATGTTGTCACTAACTGTTTAGAATCATTCCTTTCAAATGCATTTTGTCTGTTTATCCTGACAACTAATCTACATTTTGGGATCCCATATTTACTTTCACTGGTGAATTTCTTAAATATCATCCCTGGATGCCAAAACCACAAATGTGCATTTTTGAAAAAGACAATTGAAATTTTGAAGTTCATGTAATAAAATACAAATATAAAGAGTATGTGGATATTTGTGATTCAGTCTCATTTTAATAGTTAGTAATATGGCACTGAAAATTTTCTTTCACACAATTTTATATTTTCAAACATTCATACATTATTTATATCATTTACATAACCATATACAGTGCCCCGACACTACCTACCAATTTTTTACTTTCATAGTCATTGCGAGGAACTTATTAACAAGGATCACACAGTCACACACACTTACATTGTTGATTGTGAAGTTCCCCAGTTTAGTGAATATGGACTCTTGTTTGAGGATTTAATTTTTTAATATATTAATCCCACTCACAAGACTCAACATTTTAAAAAATCACAAAGATAATCAATATATTAATTTTTTAATTGTTTTATGTTGAGTGCTATTATTTTATTTTTATCAAATATTTTCATTGAAGATGTCGGTAACATTTTATCGAGTTTAATGTTTGATAAAATTTTGCTGTTATATTCTTTGTAGTCTGAAGAGGGGAATAAAAGATTATACCTTGAAATGTTACAATAAAAGTACATAAAAAAATTAAAACTTCAATTGTATTATTCTAAGAAACTTTTATTCTATTTCTAAATATTTAAGTGAATTGGTGTGTCAAGAAAACTCATGTTGCCACAGTATCTTCCAATATAAATAAATAGTGACAGACACTTATGTAATTTATGAATAATAATACTTTTTACGTATCCTCTTTCTTATGTAATCTTAGAGATCCTTAAATTCTAATTTACTACTCTCTCACCAAGGTACTTAAAACCACTGGCATATTTTTTGGCATCAATGTATCCTTTTTGCTTTATCACATTCTTATTACAATAGACCTTTTTCTTACTTCCTTTTAACATATATTTAGTTTTAGACAAATTTAATAACATTCAACCATTTGTGTACCTGCACTAGATCTTTATTAACATCATACAATACTATTTAGATTCAACCCTGACATATAAATAAGCGTGTCATCAGCAAATAAATGAATATCACATTTCTTTTGATTTCTGTTTTTTTGCATTTTGTTGAGTTCTTTTCTTGCTGATGTATGTATTGAGGCAGGAATAATAGGTAGGAGTAGAGCTGGGGTTTTAACAATACTAAAAATCAAATCTTTAGTTCAGTTACCAATGCAAATATGTTTTTTGTAACTCAGGAATGAAAATGTCTAGATTTTAAATGTTGCTGATCTTGCCTTATTGCTACTATTTTTAGTTAACACTTTGACTGCTCTGTACATGTTGAGATGCAGAAAATTCCCATGCCTGAGGGCCTCTGGATGTGTTGGATGCGCAGTGAGGCTGTTGCTGTAAGACTGGATGCAAACAGACGCGAGGTTATTTTCGTTCTCATAATGCCTGCTGACATAACGATGCTCTTTATGGTTTGCTGGTCCCACAATTCTATGAATTAGTTTCGGGTTTTGCTACAGTATGAATGATTATTGTCCTGTTCAGTGCCCTCTGTGTAGGAATGACCGAAGTTGGTTTCTTAAATTCTGTATGCATCACTAGAGTGAGTGTCAAGGATAGTTGGGAAGAGTCTCTCTCACCAGGGACTGCTTTACTAAAATAAATTTATGGTCGCACTGATATTTTCCTATTACTGTTTACTTTTCAATCCTGTGATATGCTGAAGCTCTTGAAGCCACGTTTGGTCCTACCTAACTCGTGTTTTCTTTTGTCTTTTGTTACTTACCTCTTAAAGACCGAGCTTTTTGAAGTTTTCTCTTTCAACATTCAGTTATGATTCGATTTGACACAGGTTTTTCATAATTCAAAATTCGTATCTTGAAATTACATAATGCTAATACTCAACATTTTATCCTCTTGCATCTTTACTTTAATTTATTTTATTTTCAAAGACAAGTTAATTAGAGTTTTACATTCAGTTTTTGCATTTTACTGGAGACTTCATTTAACAGCAGTCTTGATTATGGCCTAATATTTATATCCTGTCATTTTATGACAAGCTAAGTAATATTTTTTGATCAGACATTCTTATTAGATGCTTTCATTTGTGATATATCTAGCTCATAAATCATAAAAACAGAAATAATTCCTGAAAATATTTTCTTTCCTTTTAAAGTGTACTATTATGTAGCGAGGAAGCTTATATCAATTAAAAGAATCGAAAAGATATATTCTAATTTCATTCAAATTAACTCTTTGTCACTGTTTTCTCTCCCTTTCTTTTCTTTACAATTAGATTATTTATTATTCATTTGTTGTTCCTCACTTGTATTGTAGATGTATTAAGTATGTTTCAATAGTGATTAACTAGTCATATTTTGTCATATTCTCAAAACAGATACTTTACTTGTATTTTTTGCACATATTTCCATAATTATTTTGAGGCATTCTGTGATGCTAAGATGTAATCCATCAAGATGGGATGAGAATTAGTCATGTTCAAAACATATTTCCATGTGACTGAATATCTGAGAAGACAATTGAAACTTTTTTATCTTTATATTTTGGATTTAAATATAGAAATAGTATTTAGTGTTGGTAAACAAAAAGTTTGCTTAAAATCCAAAATGTCTTGCACAAAGAAATAAAAAAATAATTAATTCCATCTGATCTCTAAATGTTCTCTGTGAGAAAATTGACAGTTGATATAAAAGACATTTCCTTCTGAATACATTCATTTTGAATGTCCTGACACATATCCAAACAACTTTAGATTTTCAAGGAGATCTGCAATTGTGATAAATGTCTAAGTGAACATATCAAATGCTGATAACAATAATTTCTGTTCTCTTTCACTATCACACATGTCAAAGACTTCTCTTCCCAAATGATGAATTACTTATTACTTAGTTAGTGGCAGATCCAGAGAATTGTCGTAGGGGTAAATTTTTTTAGAAAATTCAAATTTCAGTAGTAAAAGAATTAATTTAACTCTAAATTTTTTCAGCGTATTTTATACCTGTTATTTTGTGTCAACTATATAAAAAAATTTAACGTTTTCTAGTATTTTGTTTGACTGTTATTAGTCTTTCATATTTTAATTTTGCTTTAGATATTTTATTACCACTTTAACATGGCTTTGATTGATATTCTTAATCTGTTGACTTCAGAGCATGCTTCTGGAATTACCTTTTTGTGGAAAATCATTTTATTACATTTTACAGTCTAAATTATAATACTATTGCTTCACCTAAGAAATCATTAATTTTTGAAAATTACATTGCTTTTCTTTGAGGGGGAAGGGGCAGAAATGCCCCAAGGATCTTCCACTGCCTTTGTCTGGAGAATACTGGTGACTCGGACACTAGCTTTAGCAAAGTGAGATGTGATTTGTTGGAACTGCCTAGTTCTTATGAAGTTGCTGTGATTTTCAGCTTAGCTTATTAGTAAAATGAACGTGTAAAGGAGCATAGTTGCTGCAAAGTTGATGTGTTGCCTGTACCACCTTTAAATGTACTTACTACATTAATGAGTTGGTTGTGCCTTCTCAATTTGCAAAAACCGGGCAACTTGTTATGATATTGGCATTAAGATTATGTAACGCGTGTATTCTTACCAGCCTTAGCTTTTGGAATTGTGGTTGCTAGCATTGCTAGTAAACACCGCCCTACTCCATTACAATTTTTATAATCATTAAAACAAATTAAAATCTGAACCTAGATCATTTCAATGGGTGGTGTGTCTGTAGTGTCATGTTGTCACTCTATAAAAATGCCTGAGAGAAATTTGTAGAAGAATTGTAGAATTGTTGAAATTCATCTATTTTACAATGATATTCACTCATAGTTGTGAGTGAACATGATAGATTTGCATCAGAAACTGGACTGCTTTATTTTTGTTGTCTGATTTTTTACCTATTATTTTTTTACTGTTGCATTTAATGTAAACTACTAATTTTAAAACAATTTTATCTACCTAGAGTACTTTATTGAATTTAGAGTGTATCTTGACCAATACTTTTTTACCAAATACATTTATTATTTAACATTAGTTATGTTGTAATTATTAAATTGTCTCTGAGCTAGATCTATCATTTTGTAATTGCAAAGACAATTACATACCTTACCTCAATTAATTGATAAGTAATAGTCTACCAGAGGTTGGAAGTTCGGGTACAATAAATGGAAAAGTGATTGTGTGGACAATATCCAGGCTAATAAAGCTTGATTTAATTTATGCGACTTATAAATATAGAGGTATGAAATTTAGATTATATGTAATAAAAAATATCTATTAAAACAGAGACTAAGTTGCTAGAGAATTTGGTGATCATATTCTCCCAATATATGTGATAATAAATACATTTGTTTGCCTTGTGGATTGAGGTAATTGTCATTCTTAAAAAAAAGTGACAATGCTTAGGAGAGACTTAAGAAAACTAACAGAATTTGTAAGAGTATTTTAAAATATTTTTAATGTTATATGATTATTACTACTTGATTATTCACACATTATATTCCAAGAGATCAAATCATTTTTACCAGATTTTGATTTCTGGAAGTGCACATATATTTTAATTGTTTCTGTTTCCATGTAGTTAAAATTTTTGATGGTATATTTAAGATTTGTTACAGTTAACATTTAAGCAGTTTCCAATGCTTATTCATTGTGCAAAAGTTCTTCTAGTGAAAAGAAATTTACTACTTCAAGGCTTGTCTTGTCTGACAAAATTTTTGAATGTATTGAAAGGAAATTACCCAACATTGACCTGTTCTTTCAAAAAATTTAGAGGCACCCTGTGCATAATGTTTGTTCCTCTAGCACACTATCTTTACTCATTATAACTAGTCATCACATTTATACTTTTCACCTGAATTTTTCTTCTGGTTATAGATGTATATTGAAATTGTGGGTGAAAATCAGTAAAATATAAAAGCAAAAATAAATATAGCTGTAAGCTTCTTACAAAGGGTTCATTAGTGTTCATTAGTTAGAAATACATCATCTTTTTTTATGTATTTCAGTAGAAATGGAAATTGGTTTGCCATTGATAGATTCAATGTAATTCATAAAGAGACCAAGTGAGAAATAACATAACTTCTTTTTAAAATTATTTAGTTTTCAATTCTGCTCTTAGAAAGTGTGGGTTCCTGCTTATTCTGTTATTTACACAAAGTTTTTGCAAGTTGTTTCAATTATCTGTACTATTTGATCAGTAATTTTACATGCTTGGGGGAGGTCAATATTTGATCAAAATGTGTCATACACTACATTTATCTGTGAATCAGTTACTAAGATAAATACGTCTCCTTCAGTACCCTAGTATTGGAAATAATTTTTATTTTCTTGCTAGCATGCAAAATATATTTTTATTTTGATTTCGTTTGCCTCAAAAGAAAGCAGGCAGAAACTTAGTTAACAATGAATATTGCGGCTGAAGATTTTATTAAAGATTTGGTTCTTTCCCTATACTATCATGATGAAATTACATAATAGTTGAATTTAATTTTGTAGTGCTTTAGAAATTATGATAAGAGGAAGATAAAAGATGTAAATTATATAATAGATTTATACACATTCAGTAACTTTACTTCCGAATTGAAAGACTGTAGGCAATATACTGAGAAGTAATATTGATATTTCTGGTTAGACTTCTCTCATTGGCTTTGTAACTCATGACACTCCAATGAGAGACCTTAAATTATATTATAAATTAGGGGCTTGGTCTAAATAATGGTAATTGACAGTTCACATTTTTTAGGAAAATACAATGAAATACAAGAAATGAGTTGTGCATGCCATAATGTTCAAGTGAATTACCACTGCCATTTGTTGTCCATTCTTGGTATATTTAGAATATAAAGGAAGCTTCTACCTTTTTTTCTTAAAGGCTGATAATCTAGATTGCTTTCAAAATATCAGATACCATTGTTTATTCATAAACATTTCGAATGATGATCTTTATCAAGTACAAGGTTTTTGAAAAATATTTACTGTTAGGATTTTAAATTAAGTTTTCAGGCTTAGGGAATCATCGAGAATTAGCCCAAAACAACAGGACAATGAAATTAAAAGAAATTTGATTTTTTTAAAAAAAAGTTCTGAAAAGTCTTTTTCTTTTCTTGGAACTGGAGACATTGATTTGAATGTCACAGGCCAGTAATTTATGTGCTTACGTAATTGTTACTTCTTTACTGGAGTAATACTATTTTTGTAACTTCTTATCAAACTTAACTTGAAATGAGCTAGTTAATGTTGTGCTTCTTACCATGATTACATTCCAACATTCTGGTTGACTTTAGGACAGTAGATGTTTTATAAAAAGTTAATCATTGTAAACAAAAAGCATACTTTTCAAACAGATGGTAGATGTTTTTCACTTTTAAGTTATAAAGCAATTGTTTTGTATAAACGGTTAGTAGTATATTTTTATGAGTGAAATTGATAATGTCATTTATGTAATATAATTTTAAATATTGAAATCACTAGGTAAATGAAAATTATCCGAGTTTTGATGTATTTGGTGAGATTGAAGAATGTTTTTAAATTTGAAGTAAGACAGTCATTGCAAAAAAAGGGGGTGCTTGAAAAAAGAACATTTGATTGATACTTCAAATCTCCTTGTCTATAAACTTGTTACAATTTCAACCTAAAATTCATCTAAAATTGATGTATGTAGTAGTTGAAATAGGATTAAAAATTCAATTCAATATTATAGTTCTTTTATACAATATTTTATTATTTTGCTAAAGAAATTGTATTTTCAAGAAATAATTGTTTTACTACCATTCCCAAGTTAACTGTGAATTGTAGTTAAAATGCAATTTTCTGTTGGGATGGAATAGTGACACTGATAAAAAGAAATATTTTTACTAATGATGTCTTACTAGTTCAACATGATGCTCTCTAAAACATACTTGGCAATACTAGCCCATAATGTTTAAATAAATGTTCTATAATGAAATTAATACTTGTGTGCCTGAATTGCCAAGTGTTAGGGCATATTATTAGAAAAATGCATGTGTGAAATGTAGGGTTTTCACATTTCACTTATGGGTAGATCATGTGCAATATGTGAAAATAGTTCCTTATTGAGTGTTTTGTTATCCATGAATACTTTGATGTAAATGACTGAAATAAATGGAAAATGTTTAGAACTCTGATTTTGTGCCAGAAATAAAAGTTACGTGTTGTTTGTCAACCACCACTAACAGTTCTTATAAAAAAAATTGTGACCATGGTTGAAGTTGCTCAAAACAAATTCAAGTGATTAATATTTATTCAAATACTAATTGTTAACAACATTTATTAGTTCTCTTGAATCTCATTTCAAATTGCCTCAAAAGAGAGGAAAGCATGGGAATGTATTATTGCATTTCCATTTAAACTTCTGATCATTTTCCTAATTGTTTTACAAGATAAAAGTGACTTTGCAAAACAAATTTAGATTGTCAACATAATTGGAATTCTTTTGTCAATAAGAGTTGCATAATTCTGAATTTGGCTAGCTCACATTTTTTCAGAACTTTTCATGATAAAACGCTAGTTCCCTTTGATTGCATAATTTTAAAATACTAACTGCAAAACTATTCTGTTCAAAATTTGTATTTGTTGTAATCATAGAGTGCTATGTCGACTTGAGTTTAGTAGTTTGGATTCATGCCAATCACATTGAAATGATAAAAGAAAAAGTCATTATTTATTTTAATACAAAGAATATATTTAAAATAATTCCAATTATTTCTTAGACATATTTAAAGTGTCAGAATGCTAACGAAGAGATTGTGTAGTATTCAGTTTCAACATGCTGTACTGAATCCAGTATTGTAGATTTTCAAATCTGTAAATATGTAAAATAAACTAATAAACATTAATAATATTTATCACCCTGTAATTCTTTGGATCCTGATTTTGCTTTTGTAAATGGAAAATTCAGACTAAGTAGTTGCTTCTATTTTTTCTTTCTTCTTTTCCTTTTTCTTCTTTTTCTCCTTCCTTTTCTTTATTCTCTCTCTCACACACACACTCTCTTTCATACATATGCAGAATGAAGCTTTGGCTATAGTAAGCAATGACATTATGTGCTTATGCATCGTTATGTAAGTAGAAAATATTTAAGCTGAAATAAATCGAGAAGTGTGAACATTAGGATTATTAAAAAAATTATGAAGATCTATTTTCTTGAATATTAGCTTTCTGATTAAACTTTTTAATAATATTTTGGTGATGACTTAAACATTATGGGTTGCTTGGCCCGATAGCTCAGAGCAACACTGTTGTCACTGCATGGACTGACTGGGAGGGCCGAGGAGTAGTCTAAAGCGGCGGATATTTCGACCCTTTTCAAATCCAGATTTGTTTTACGGTATACTACTTTCATCCGTTGTTTTCCACTATTTCTCCTATTAATGCCTGGCGAATGCCGGATCAGAACCCTAATAAACGGGCCACAGACCGCGAATAATCTTTCCTTACATATCCTTACCTTTCAAGGATACCTCTTACATATACTAAATATATGCATGATTATATCGCAAAGCATCCCGGAGATTCCCGCCAGCGGGTGACATGTAATTCACTCTATCGGCGTTCGGCCCACTTAAATTGTTCACTCAGCTGGCAAAATAAAGCGCTCAAGTAGCGAGAACTGCGCCACCTCCTTGCATCGCATGAAGATCGGATAACGAGGAATGTTTCCAAACTTTAGAATTCATGTTGGGATATCCGATCTTCATGCGATGGGAAGAGGTATCGCAAAGCACCCGGCGATTCCCGCCAGTGGGTGACATGTAACTCACTCTATCGGCGTTCGGCTCATTTAAACTGTTCGCTCAGCTGGCAAGAGAGAGCGCTCAAGTAGCGAGAACTGCGCCACCTCCTTGCGTCGCATGAAAATCGGATAACGAAAAACGTTTCCAAGCTTTAAAATTCTTGTTGGGATATCCGATCTTCATGCGATGAGAAGAGGTGTTCAGCGATTTTCAAGAATGGGTTAAAGTGACTGTTCGCGTAACAAGTGAACATCACGTGTAATTCCGAGGAGTCAGCTGTTTCGTTACGCCCCTTCGTAGTGTTTGTTTACGGCTCCCGCGAAGACATCTGTATTGTGTACGTACGTGAGTCCGGGAAATATTGAAATTTATTGACATATATGGGAAAATGTCTAAACATGACCTCACCTTCAGTAAAAGAAAACTGACACGAATGTAAACAGAAAGAAAAATTATTTTTCAGGGGACGTTGAAATACTTTCTGGACGTTTCACAGTATTGCACATGCAGTTTTTGTAGTGAAGAGGGTAGTTTATTTTTAATTATAACACTCCCACTATCAAAACTTGGTATTATGCTCTCATAACTCAAATGTGTTTTAATGTTTTAAATTTAACTAATGTTATGCATTTCAATTCATACCTTGACCTAGTATGTCTATTTTCACCTATTTCGTGGATGAATAATAGGCACATTCTTTATATTCACTCTCACCAATTAAAACAACTAAACAGTGAATGCTATCTTTGATTTGTATCCACAACTAAAGGCTTTACTAAATTTTCTTGAGAGTTGTTTCCTTTACAAGCATTTACCTTTCAAATAAATATTTTAAATACTAAATCTCGATGGAACATATCTCTATGATGTTAAAGGAATAAATAGGATGGGTAATAGAAAGGTCCTGTAAAGGTAAATAAATATATATAACATCACAAGATTATTTATGTAGCACTTTGACCAATGGGGTGAATTGTTTTTATTGCCATTACACTCTGGCA